ATTTATTAAACATGTTATAATTTGTTGTTTTTAGGTTACTTCGGTGGCTATTAAGAAAGCCCGACAATTTGAAGAAAGCGTGGAACGTGTTAAGTTGTTCAGGTAAAGGAACCCTTCACCCTAACGGCACCAAAAGAAAGAACCTCTAAACAGGCCGCTTCCGAGTTTCGCCAAGCCTCTGTTTCAAGGCGAGGCTAAGAGCGAAACCAATGAAATGAAAATGACTATTTATTCTTATGCAAATAAAACTCACTTACACAAGAAAGGTTTTCCAGTTAGCCTTGTTTTGAAAGTGAGAATTTGCCCACCTACCCGTCCCCTAAGCTAAAATTAACACTTACTTCTCACTTAGGGCAAAATGTTGGCTTAGGGAAGGGGTATAGGGACGAATGTGATAATCGAAAGCTTAGGAGGTGGGCAGTTTCCCAGAAACCCATATTGATCCACTGCTTTCATCACTAGTCACACCACTCTTGTCACTTACGTCTTTGGTTGGTAACTAGAAAGAGTAGGAGTTCTGGGGACAAAATAGCCTTGAAATTCCAACTCGTTCTCGCACTAGATCTCGTACTCGTAGTCAAACCCAGGGGTCGAAAAATACTGGGATTCCAGTTTGTCTTTTAACGTGCACTTATTTATGTCCAGGATTGAACGCAGTCGCAATTTTTTTTTTCGCAATTTTGGTAAAACAAGATTTAAAGGAAACTGCTGTCAGAAATGTATAAAATAAATAGCAAATATAGCAAGAATAACGAATTCATCAAGGATTGCAAGCTGTAGCAAAAATTTGCTAGCAAATTTTTGTCGCAATGTTAGCAACAAGTTATTCTTGCTTTTTTGTGATATTTGTTACTCAGTCTTTTTGGATGACAAGAAAAATTCTTGTTACTTTTGTGATTATTTTTGTAATTCTCATAACATTTGTTTTGTGTGTGTATTGGTATTGAAAGGAGAAAGTTGATGTTGGTCACTCTATACAAGGAACTTATGAGTAAATAAATTAAGGAGAAATTTAATACGCTGATAACCGTTCTGTCTATATTTTTCTTTCAGAACGCTTCTTTCAAAATCAACCACCTTGACTGAAGATGTTATGACCTTACAGCAAAAGCTCACTTGTCAGTAGTCCGTGTTTTTCCAAGAAAACCAGTCTTAGGGTTGCAGTGTTTTAAAAGTGATGTCGGTTCAAACCGATTAACGTTAGAGCTAAAAACAGAGAAATCATCTTGGACATTCCAGTGTTACTGTTTCAATATGTCTTTTGCAGGGCAAAAAAATTAAAGAGTTAATCTATTTTCAAACTTTTCTTTTTTTATTGACTAAAAAGTAAGTTTATGATTAGATACATAGGAAATCATCTGAAAAAAGGAAGCGTGGCTTTAACAGTCCCTTATCACATGACGTCACGGCAGCCATTTTGGTATTCCAAAACAATGAAACGGCGGTCATGTTGATGTTCCAAACCAATCCTATGGGAGTTGAACTCTTTTCTAATGTAAACGCTTTCTGTGGCCATGTGGTTGAAAACGCTCTGTTGGCTCAAAATGAACCGTGAAATGCGTTGTTAACGACAAGGGTTATTAAAATCTACGTAATTTGCTACAGTGCGTGACAAAATCCCATGCGGATACTTTCTACTCTGCAGTTCTCCTAGGCCTCCGCTGCTTAAAAATAACACCCGCGTGGGGGAAGATGAAAAGAGTAAAGCCGGACACATGCCACATGCTTCGATTCTCGTTAACCGTAGATTGCAGTAGCAATAACCAATAGCCCATTTTACAGTTGCAGGTGAAAACAAGGCTGGAGTTGACCTTGTTTTGATACAACCCTTCTTGCTTTATTATGTAAATCATGTCTTTCTTATGCTAACGAGTATTTTTAAGCAAAATTTGCATTATGAAAGGAATGAAGTTTGTATCAAAACAAGGTCAACCTCAGCCTCACGTTCTCTCAAAGGCCAGGGCACCAAGCCCACAACTGTAAAATGGCCTATTGCCTGTTTTAAGCCCCTTTGTAGTTTTCTGCGCTTCCGAAGCTCGAAAAAAATATGCCATTGGTGCAACTCGTTAAATTACCTTGTTTATTTTCCGTTCAAATATCTCTCCTTTTCTTATTTGAGTAAACCCCCCGGGTAATTCTTCATAGCCAGGTAGCGTTGACCAAATTTGGATGGTGTTTGCGATATCCAGTAAAATTACCTCAATGGTACAGGATGTCGTCAGGAAAGGGGACGAGAACCGATAAACTCTGTCGACACTTAAGGTTGCGTTTGTTCAGTTGTTTCGGTAGAGCTAGAGGAAATGGCGGAAAATCTGACATATTTTGCGAAGAAGAAATCGCCTAACTAATACCTAAAAACAACAACAGCAAAATAGAACTTGACGGATGACAACTGCTATTTGAAGGATGTCTGCTGGTTCATGTCCTGGATTTGCCGTGGAACAGATAAATGAATCGGTCGGGGTAAGCATGTTTAGAAGACTTATTTGGAATAAATATATGATAAAACAATTATTGCGTTCGACCTTTGTATGATCTGAAGAATTGTGCGGATCAAAGATATTCGGTCTCAGCGGATCCTCCTCGATCTTCACAATTCTTCAGATCACACTTAAGCCCTGTTTACATGGAGGTGGGGGACCCCAGGTAGGTGAGGTAAACTATGGCGGGTCACCCCACCTATCATGTAAACGTGATGAAATTAAAATGAGAGATTATTTGGACAAACGGGTTATCCCACCTAATCTGGTTACCTCACCTACCTGGGGTCCCCCACCTCCATGTAAACAGGCCCTTAGCTTCCTCCAATAATCGGTAAGTATTATTATTGAACCAACAATCGAATGAGGTGTAAATATTGGCCTATTTTGGGGTTGTGTGATGTGTCGAATTGCACTGTGGCGTTCTTTTGGGAAAGCAGTGGCTTTTCTTACTCTTGCTATTACAATGTTGCGTGGACAGTGGCTCCGAATTCGTTCCCTAAAACGGTGCCGTTCAACACGACACCAACATAGTCTTTAACGCTACCTCCATTGGCCATCCAGTTACATATTGCAAGAAATTTCTCGTCGAGACCAGTTCAAAAAACATCTGGCTATCATTGGTGAGAAAAAAGCGGGTAGCACTCTTGTTCAAGATATGTCAAAAAGACTAATCAATGAATACTGCACAGTCAGAGCCGGTTGTTTTTCTCTAAGGTATCCATTAACAGAAGAGCAGTCTACATGGGCCTAGCTCATTAATTTTTAATTTATTCCTCTCTTACTTTGTTACCATTAGTGTGTACAATTTTCAATTCAGTGTGTAGTCTGCGAGCAAGCTCTCCTATTTGGGCAAGCGAAGCGAGCCGCGCGAGAACGCGCGAGCAAGGGGCCGAGGAAAGGAAACCTTGCAACGCTCTCTCATAAATTTTCTCCTTTCCTCTGCCCCTCGCGGCTTCGCTGCTCGCTCGCGCGTTCTCCCAAGACTCGTTTCACTCGCCTAAATAGGAGAGCTTGCTCGCTGGCAATTCGGTGTGATGAGCACGCTCGCAATTAAAATTTCAAGTTCATTGTTTTGCCACAATGCAAAACATGAAGTACTTGAATATTGAAAAGCTAATGACATGGAAGCCTAAGGGAAACCACTAGGCTTTTAGGTAAAAGCCTCTCTCAGTAATTTAACGGAATATTAATAGAAGTATACAATTCAGGTCAACATACAGGGGCACCCAACGACTGTTTTGTGTAAAATATCTGTTCGGAGAAGCAAATATCGCCTAGAATTTTCTTGTGCTTGAGGACGGCGAACGTTCCCTTCATGTACAATTTTCGAAGCTTATCTAATAAATTCCCTACGAGTTTCTGAAGTTTAATTTTTCTATATTACTACTCAGGTTACACTATTTTTCTTAGAAAAAGGAAACCTAAAATTTTCAGATTCTAAAATGTGATGGAGAGAGGAATCAGAAAAATTCTCACTTTCGTGAAACGTTAAATTGCCCCTAAAATTTTCGGGAAAATAATACTGAAGCCCTTGTAATTTCGAAAAGACTTAAGTTCCCCTAGGATGACCGAACAGATAAAAATTTTGTAGCGCCGCTTAGAATGCATTTCTAGAGATCTAAATTAAAGTACTTTTGATAGCCTAAAAAGTGTTTTTCAACGTATGTTGGAGGAAACCATCGTGGGGTGCCCCTGAATATATTAGGTATAAGTGTTAGGCACAGTTAGCCTAAAAACTAACCCCTGGCTAAAAAATTGCTAGGCAAAAAGGGAAAAAATGAAGAGGAGAGGCAAAGAAAAAATGTTTTTGATAAAAGGACTGCTTTCAATTTACAGGAAAAGGGGCATATTAATTGATTAACGAACACTGTTCATTCAGAGCTGGCATTATTCCACCACGGTATCCATTAACCGAAAAGTAGTCTACCTGGGTCTAGAACGTTATTTACTTAACTTGTACGTTTTTGCAATCAATTAAACACTTTTTTCGTTAACAATTTCCAATTCGTTGTGGTGGGAACGGGCTGATTTGTTTTCAAGAGTGTTATTTTGCAAGTCAGTTTCAAAGGTCAAACATAGAATGCCGGAGGGTTTTCTTGACGTCTTTTATACTTACAGCATGAATATACAACATATAAATGCCTGAGGGGTTAACAAAAACGCCAGTCTCAAATCCGGAGTGAAAAGTATAGAGAATTACCGTTATTTCTAAATTTGCTAACTAGTTTGACCCTCAGATAGTTTACGTCAAGTGCTGTTCTTGAAAATCGAATACGCGACAACCGGTTATTAAATTATCCCAATTATTAAACAAATGCGGGGGAGCGTTAACTTTGTTTCATATATGTTTGTAATTGCTCATAAACGTCATTTGCAAGACAAAAGAGTATACTGAAGCACATATTGCTGTGGCGGATCGGAATACGGTCATCAGTCAATAGTTTCAACATGTTTTCTAGGTTCTGTGAGTCTAGACTAAACGAATTGGAAGAACTTGTTGAACGTCAAGAAAATTTCATGAAAATTTTCTGTGTTTTAAACCTGGTGTTTTCGCTGATGGCAGTAATTGGAAATTTCCTGCTTATCCGTGCCCTGTGGAAAGCGTCATCGATAACCGCCAACATCAAAAAGCTCTTCTTGAGCCTCGCCTTTTCAGATCTGGCTGTGGGTTTGTTTTCACAACTTTGCTTTGCTGTTTTAATCGCGATAATGTTAAACTCGACATCGACGGGGGAGATTCCATTCTGTCCAACAGTCTTAAATGCAAGTTATTTCTTAATATTTTGCTTCCTTTCTGCGTCTTTTCTGAATATCACCGCCATTGCAATCGATAGACTTTTGGCCATTTGGCTTCACCTCCGATATCGCGAACTCGTGACTCCCAAGCGTGTTGTTGTAGCGCTGGTATCTATATGGTCAACAAGCGGGCTGGGTGCCGTCATCTTACTTCTTCTCCCTCAGTTCGTCGTACAGTATTTGCAGTCGCTAACTTTGCTGGATTCCTATTAATGACTGTTGCGTATGGTCATCTCTACAAAGCAGTTAGATATCACCAGAATCAAATTCAAACTCAGCTTCAGCTTCAGAATTCCCATGCAGCGGAGCTTCTTCGCGAAAAGAAAGCCTGCTATAACGCTTTATTTGTATATGCTGTTTTCCTCGCGTGTTTCCTTCCTGTTCTCACATCCACTACTTTGTTAACATTCCAGAATTTGCGAGGGGTTTCTTTTTTGTTATATGATCACGTCGCCGTATTCTTGGCTCTACTGAATTCGTCATTAGACCCTTTGGTTTATTACTGGCGATGTCGAGAAATTCGTGAAAATGTGAAAAACGCAGTGAAGAAAGTCTTTTTTATTCACGAAAGAGAAACACAAGGTGAATGTCAACAATAACATGCATATACACAGCATTTAGCTCTTTCTACCCGCTGTTTGCGAAATTTTTAAATACTTTATTATTTGAAACCGTCCTATCATAGGCAAATAAAAAATGTGAATATTTCTTAAGATCCAGAGTCCCCAACTGAGAAGACTGTATAGCTATAGTTCTCTTCTCTCTTCCAGCAAGTTTTCTTTCAAAGCAAGTTGCTGCAAGTGTATTATTATATTCTAGGATAATTCGTGTCAGGAAATTACACAGCACAGAAAGACTCGTACAACTGCGTAGATACAGGGTGCAGTAAGTCAACAAAGATCTGATAGAAAAAAGACACGAACAACAGTGTAGATATAGGGTGCTATAGGTCAACAAAGATCTGATAGCCAGTTCATTGCAAAACTGCTTTGAATTTGTCAGTTTCAAATAAGCAATATCTCTCAAATTTGTACAGCTGAACTCCGTCGACATAAACAAGGCCATTAAAAAATGGTTACCTCAGCTGTTTTAGAAAAGATAGAGATGAAATTGAATTAGTTTCCGTTTATATATCACTTAGTAACGTAATAACGTCAGTATTTTACTCAATCGTAATTAAATTTTTGGAATCAATCGCGGAATCTTTTACCACTAATAGCCTCCTTAAAGATAGTAAGGTTCGAGCATATTCTCCGAGGGCATTATCGACATCATATGATGAAATTTTACCTCATAGTTACCCTTAATTGCAATGACGTTGTCTCAAAAAAAAAAAACGGAAAAGCAGCAAGAAAGTAACTAATTAAACTTAATGAGCCTCTCACCCGAGCTGCGTTTATTTCGGCATTTTTTGGCGTATAAAGCGTTTGCACTCACGTGACCAGCATCTATGCAATTTATGGCACAAAAGAACGTTTTTACACAAGAAAATAGTTCAGTTCCTACAGGGTTGTCTTGGTATCAATCATAAACAACTTTTCTTGGCCCATTTTGGCTAAAAACAAAGGATGAACAAAGTCCCAAGTTTTTGACAAAACTATGGACTAACCAATTTGAAAAAATAGATATTTGGCGGTATTTTTAATTCTATGCTTTTTTATAGTCTGGAAAGGCTTTTTTTGGATATAGAACGTTCATAAACGCATTTTCTGAGCTCATTTTGGCTAAAAAGAAAGGACGAAGACATAGACCTTTTTTCCGATACGGCGGCCATATTGAATTAATTCGATTTAAGGAGTATTATAGGATGCCCAGGGGGCATGAGCACATTTCGTTTGAACTTTCGAGCGCTTTTTTTTTGGATGTAATAATGATCGTCTTTTTTCCCAAGCAATATACAGTGAAAGACCGTATTTCTAATACTAAACTAGAAAAAGGCGATCATTATTACATCCAAACACGGCAAAAGGATCTTTTTTCTTATTACAATCTTATTCTAAGAAAACTTTAAGAAAAAATGTCGCGGAAAGCGCCCGAAAATACAAACGAAATGTGCTCATGCCCCCTGGGCATCCTATAATACTCCTTAAATCGAATTAATTCAATATGGCCGCCGTATTGGTAAAAAGGTCTAATCCCAACTTTTGACAAAAACCATGGACTAAAAGCACCTTGATCTATTTTTTTCCAAGCTTGCGAGCGTGCGGAATCCTGCAATCTTATTGGTTCCGAGAGCGGGCGGTATTTTGCGATCTTGCCCGCTAACCCGGGCGGAATCGTTGGCAGCTTCTTTCACAAGTTTGTTTTTCAAGGGCTATAAATGTAAATAGGTATCTGTAATAACACCAAGGAAAATTTCTTACGAGAGCCTGAGAAAATAAATGTCAAATTTCACAAAATGACATCTTTGTATAGGTAATAGCATGATTTATCGTGATATTTGGCATAAATACCACGAGTGATATTTCGAAATTGTTATACGTAATTTCACGGGCCATTAGGCGAGTGAAATTTGAGACAATTTTGAAATATCGCGAGTGGTATTTTATGCCAAATATCACGCACATTTCATGCTATTACTTGTTTATAGTACTACCTGCAAAAGGTTTGTAATTTTCACATGTAGGTGTTTCGAATTAGGCTGAAATACAACTGCTTTAAGCCAATCAAATTGCGGAAATTTCTCACGTAGTAGTATAACACACGAAAGTTTTAGAAGTTTACCTCTGTTTTCACAATTCTTGTGAAATTTGACATTTATTTTCTCAGGCTCCAATGAGGAGTAGTCTTTAATGTTACGACAGATAACTAATTATATCTATAGCCCTTGAAAAATGTGAAAAAGAATACGATATCGCTTAAATTATTCTGGACAAGGTTTTTGTCCACTGATGAATTGAAATTACTCAATTTCGTGATGGATTACGTCTTAAAACGGCTTCTTTCCCGCCAAAAGTTTCACATTATCACGAGTCCTGTATGTCACCGTGAAAGTAAAGGGGGGCAAACGCGAAATCAGGATCCTGTCTTTCGACCATTTTCCTTTTACCATACGTTCATTTTTCCGATTTAAATATTGCTAGGAACTGCTGTGAAATATGCTAATTATTAGACCCTCTAAAATCTATGTTTTTATAGTCTGAAAAAGTCTTGTTTTCGAGATAGAACGTAACCAACACTTGTCCCTTGACCTTTCTGAATAAAAGAAAAGAATAAAGAAATTCGCAATTTTTTTCAAAAACGATGGACTGACTAGCCTTTTTCCAATTTTTGACAAAAACCACCCAGTTTGCAACCTTCTTAAGTTTATTATTTTACTATTCTAGATGGGGTTTTTTCGAAATAGAAGTTAAATTAAAACTTTTTCTGGCTCATTTTTCGGAAAAAGAAAGAATTAAGAAATTTCAAATTTTTAACAAAAACTATGGAAAAAATGCAAAATGCAAACTATGCCACCTTCTTAAGTTCATGTTTCTACTATTCAAGAAAGGGTTGTTTGGATGTAAAACGTTCATTAACAGTTTTTCTTGGTTCATTTGCCTATAAAGAAAGGATTAAAAAAATTCAAATTTTTGACAAGAAACCATGAACTAACCCCTTTGCAAAAATGCAAGGTTTGCGAACTTCTTAAGGGGTTTTTCGAGATAGAACGTTCATAAACACCTTTTCTTGGCACATTTTGCCTAAAAATAAAGCATTAAGAAATTTAAAATTCTAGTCAAACACCATGGACTAACTCCCTTGAAAAAAATGCGTATTTTGCGACCTTCTTAAATTCATGCTTTTACTAATCTAGAAAGGGTCTTTTTCCATCATAGACACTTTTTCTTGGTTCAGTTTATCTAAAAAAAGGATTAAGAAATTTAAAAATTTTTGACAAGGAACCATGGACTAACCCCTTTGGAAAAATGCAAATTTTGCCATCCTCTTAAATTCATATTTCTTTTAGTCTAGAAGAGGTTTTTTCGAATATAGCGTTCAAAAACACATTTTGTTGGCTCATTTGGCCAAAAAAAAAGAAGTGACGAAACTTCAAATTTATCACAAAAATCCATGGACTAACCCCCTTTGGATAAATACAATTTTTGCAAACTTCTTAAGTTCATGTTTTTACTATTCTAGAAAAGGCTTTTTCGATAAAGAACGTTCAAAAGCACTTTTATTAGCTCATTTGGCCAAAAAAAGGAAGGATAAGAAAATTTCAAAGTTTTGACAAGAAACCATGGACTAACCCCTCTGTAAAAGTTTGCAACCTTTTTAAGTTCATGTTTTTGCTATTTTAGATAGGGTATTTGTAATATTATAGAGCGTCCATCAACACTTTTTTTTGGCTCATTTGGCCAAAAAAGGAAGTATAATAAACTTTCAAAATTTTTTCAAGAAACCGAGAAGGAACTCCTTTAGAAAAATGCAAATTTTGCCACCTTCTTGAGTTCATATCTCAATTAGTCTAGAAAGGATTTTTTTTTTGGAAATTTAACGTTCATAAACTTTTTTTCTTAGCTCACAAGAGAAAATGAGCTAGATCATTCTCTCTTGTGGCTCATTTGGCCAAAATAGGAAAAATGAGGAGATTTCAAAATTTCGACAAAAAACCATTGACTAACCTCTCTTGGTTCATGATTTTACTAGTCTATGAAGCGTTTTTTCGATATGGAACGCTCACCACTTTTTCTTCGCTAATTTGGCCAAAAAAAGGAGAGATAAGGAAATTTCAAATTTTTGACAACAAATAATGGGCTAACCCCTTCGTAAAAATGCAAAGTTTGCGACCTTTTAAAGTTCATGTTTTTTCTATTCTAGAAAAGGGTTTTTCGATATAGAGCATTTATAAAAAATTTTTCTCGGAACATTTTTCTTAAAAAGAACCGATAAAAAAATGTCAAATTTTTGACAAAAGCCATGGACTATTATGCAAATTTTTCGACCTTGTTAAGTACATGTTTTTACTAGTGTAGGAAGGGTTTTTTCGATATAGAAAGTTCATAAACACTTTTTCTTCGCTCATTTTGCTTAAGGCGAAAATATGAAGAAATGCAAATTTTGGACCGTGTTAAGTTTATGTTTTTACTTTTTTGGAAAGGTTTTTTTTTCCGACATAGAACGTTCATAAACAAGTTTTCTTGGCTCTTTTGGCCAAAAAGGAAGGACGAAGAAATTTAAAAATGATTGTTTTCGATCGAAAAGATTCCCCACCCAAAATTTCAAGATTATTATTGCCCAAGAAGAGAAAAGAAAAAAAATGCCATTTTTTGACCAATATCATAGGTTAACACCTTTGGAAAATATGCAAAAATGTAAGTAACTAAAGTGCATATTTTTATAGGCTGGAACTCACTCTTCTCTATCGACAAGATCCATAAACATTTTTTTAAGATCATTTTTGCTTACAAACAGAAAATAAAAAAGAAGTTCATTTCTTGACCACCATCATGGGTTAACCCCTTTGAAAAATATGAAAAAATGCGCCTATCTAAAGAGCCTATTTTTAAAACCTAGAAACGATTCCTTTCTCTCCAAAAGATCCCCAAACATTATTTCAAGATTGTTTTTG